AACAGGCCAGTGTGCTGGGCCTGGCTGTGGCTGACCGTCAGACGGCTGCAGTACTGCTGACTAGTCTTCCCACAGCGAGACTCCTCCACTTGCACCTGATCTCTGGCCAAACCTGATGGGTACGCCCATGTCAGCTCCCAGCGACCCCTGGTCAACAGATACAAGGCGCTCAGTGTTCTCTTAGAAAACACTTGGCAATCTTCGCACGTACACTCACATTCAACTTGCATCATAAGAATTGAACTCTTTTAGGGTGTGGAAGAATTAAGCCCATTCAGTGTTCAAGAGATTTATATTTCCCTAGATGGCCTAATATAGATACAATAAAGCGCTTCATTGAAACTCAAATTCTTGATGTTTTAGTTGGTTCGTTTGATTTTCTTATGCTTTTGGTGAGTCTGGACAATGAGATAAAAACTTTTGACAGCAAAAAACCCCCCCCAAAAATTCTGCACGCAAACTTGGATTGCCCTGAAGAAACTGAAAGTGTAATAGGAAGCAACAGATTTGTGGTTAAAAGACTATTAATAGCAAGCTAATATGAGGCACAGGCGACAAAAAACTCCCCCCGACACACTGGGTAGTAACTGTTGAAGAAATCTTTTGAATGGAAAAAAAATTATTATTGATATTTTGAGAGTACAAAAAGCACAACTGGAAGAAAATTGGGGAAACTGATATTATACAAGACTCAAAACAGAAATATCTGAATGTAGCAACAAATGAATCCAAGACTGCATAAATGTGAATATATTTATTTTGTTACTGTATTATTTAATGTTGCAATCTCTTGCCAATAGAGATTTAAATTAAAAAAATAAAAACGGTGATTGAATGTTTCTGCAACAACTTGTTGCCTCAATAAATGATTGAATTACATTCGAATGAGTGTCTAGGTGGTGATTATGATAATTTTTCTGATAATATTAATCCTTAAGGATGGGTGTGTTTTCTTGAATTTACAGGTATTAATCATGGTGTTTGCAACTTCCTTGTCCCACCCCATCTCTAACCCTGTTGCCCAAATCAGTGTTTTCAGGTCTGGATCTATCTACCCGAAACTCACCTGCAGCCAAGCAGTAGTGTCTGGTTAGCGTCCAGGATCAGCTGCCGGCTTTTTACATCCAGTATTGGGACGCTGTACTTTCCCTTTTGATCTTTATCTGCAGAGGTAGGAGAGAGGATGAGTGTGCAGAAGTCTTGTAGTGGCAGCAACATCGCAAAACTCCATAGCCGATTAAGTGCATTACAAAATTTATGAATGGTTTGTCTAATAGTTTCTACAAGGTGACAAGGCTTTATTTATCAGCATGTCGACCTCTCTAGAGAACATGCAACTTCATCGTACACTATTCTTTAGGGACATTTGAGCAGGATGTTTACTCTCTGAAACGGGAGCTTGAGTCCTGGGACGCCATTGAAGGAGAATTTTTTGTTTATGAATAAACTAATATGTCAAGAGGGTGGATGCATCTTTGCAATTACATTAAATATGAGTCATGATCGGGATGGAACAAATCCCTTTGGACCCAGATCTACATGAGACCACTTTCAGAGGAAATCCTGGAAGACAAAACACTTTACAATGAATAAATATTTTAGACAGTTCCTGTAAGCTCTGTCCATTACAAACTGCACTTGCAGAACCTAGGTTCCAGCTCCGCAGCACGTCCTCCATCCAGGACCCAGTGTCAGTGACCCTCCTCACATCTCCTTGCTCAAGCCACTTGACAACTTGTGTGGAAATGCGTAAGCAGTGTCCTTCTTGTTTATCAAATAAAAGTATTTCTCCACTCCATCGCTGAGGTTTATTAATGAGAGATAGAGACGGCTGTCTGTCCACCCTTCCTTCCTCCCAACAACAGCGGAAACATCATTCAGGGAAGTCTGTCCTTCACTCTGACTGCTCCTTACTGAGTAAACACAATTCAAAACCCTCTCCAGTCTGTCTTACTGCTCCATGAGTTGTTAAATCACTTGTACGGCAGTGACTGAGTTTATCACTAAAGTCCATTATTACCATTTATTGTCAGCATCATTGTTCCCAGTGGATGCCCCATTTAGCAGATCTAGCATTACTCACACTGCTAGAACTTCCTAAACTATTTCCTTAGATTTCACAATGTGTGAGTAGGCAAGGAACACACACTCCCACACACAGCAGTGTAAGGGAAGACAGAGGGGAAGTTACGGATCTCCCCTATGCCTTCTGGGGCCTTTTCTAAGAGCTGCGACATGTCTAAAAGCACCATTTCCTCATAATTCAGTAGAGTTTTCCAGCTACTTTACCTAAGTAGGACAGAAAGTTCAGTGTTTTGGTTCTAAATTTCACATTTCCAACCATAGAAATCATGTAAGAATATCTTACATGATGTAATTATGTAATATTGTGGCAGGTTTCTACACACTAACTTACTACCTGGAAAAACACCTAGGTGACCTCAAGAACTTTGGACACTTGACAATATAAATAAAAATAGTTTCCTTATTATAACAAAAGTGACTTTGTTGTATTGAAATTTGTATCACTGTATCTCATGTCAAGAGAATTCATGAGAATTCTAGAGAATTAATCTGCACACCCTCAATTCTCTGGAGTTTGATGTCATCAACTGAACCAAGAATTACAATACTAATAATTAAATTGACAATATTTATGTGTTATGTCATAATAAGAGGGGTTTTTCTATCGAATATATATTATTATCATCTTTATTAAACTTAACAGGGTTAATTATAATGTTTGAACATGGCAACAATGACATTGGGATGTGTACAAATGAAGATGTATGGCTATATGAAATGTGTGTGAATGTATGATGATGTATGCATGTTGAAAATTATGACTCTCTCCTGGCATTCTCCATCCATTTATCATGATGATATATTTATTGTACTTTTTTGGATTGTGTTTAATTTGTTTTGTTGATGAATAGAAAATGAATGGAAAAATTTAATCTAACTTCAAAATTAGTTTTCCCTAAAATCTTACACAACTTGGCCTTGCAGTAATGAGGAGGTAGATGCGGGTTAGACAGAATAAAAAAAAAAAGGTTTATTTCTAAGTGCAAAACATAGGTACAAAACGCATATTAGCAATACATATTAAATAGTTAATTAGGCATAGAGTACACTTGATGCTGCATAAACATTATTTCATTTTGCAGGGAAAAAACATCTCTTGCTCCATAAATGACTTCTAACACCACAGAGTTCTGTGGGGAGCATAAAAGCAACCTGCCGACTGTTTTAGCAGTAAGCACAGATTAACCCATGTTCCTGCTCAGGGGATGTTTTTCCTTCAGTTGGTCATGACCCCGCGTTCATTTATATCAGAACTTTCATTTGGCAAATGCATCAGTCTCAGGAAACAACGCCCTGCGTGTGTCCACTCAACTGTAGCCAAGCGCACAAGGAGCCGGGCCACAGAGGTCCGCATTATCCAAACAAATCTCCCGCAGGATGGCGCTTATCTCCCTCACTGCACTCGGTTCGAGTAGAGGTTTACAAGCTGAGCAGCCTCAGGCACGCGGCCGCACCAACGACTTAATTGTCCTATAACTGAGCAGCGGCACCACAGAGTACCACAAGGAAAAGCCACATGTGTGCATCTTTTGTTTTCTTTCATAGAAAAGATTGGATGTTCTGCCTTGGTAATGGAAATTTAAAGTGTGTCCAGACTTCTAATGACCTATATAATCCTCCAATTTTAAGGGGAAAAGAATAATAAAACAGTGCGTAAGTGCATAGAATGCAATTTGCTACAGGTTACGGTTTCAATTTCAGTTTACAACCTTTAAAACTAAACGATATTTTCCCTGTATAGGAGCCTAATTAAATAAATAGGCTACGTAATTAAATATGTGAACACCTGATCAAATGGTTACAGCAGGTGATGTGCATCCTATAGCGGTCGGGAGCAACAACAGTAAATATGTTACTTACCTTTTGCACGAACACCGTACAATCCACATAGCAGGCAGATGAGGATAAAATTCATCATCTCTGGTGAAGCGCGTTTCAAACATAAAATATGAAACAAGTTTTATTCCTGCTGCCTTTACCCCCCTCCAGATTTAACACAGCACAGCGCACTTGTCTGCGGCGCTCGGCGCTGATGGTCAGTGAATAAGGCTGGCTGGTTTCCTGAGGAGAGCTGCGGGAGATCACGGAACAGGACACCACGCTTGAACTCCAGTGCAACTTTTTCCCATCGTTTTGGATACTGGCGCGCATTTATACAGTTCCCACAGTGCAACCACTGGACAGCCTAGCGGACTTCCGTGACGTCTTTTGACACACCCAAGGCGCGTACCAGCACTCCCCTTTAGTTCTCCCCAAGCAATCAACCAGTGAGGTGGCAATGAAAGTTTATGGTCTAAAATAGCCCTTTCTTTTGACATAAGCTACTTTTAAACCTTAATTTAAACGTGAAATAGCCTAATAGCCGAGTCTGAATATTATGTTATTTTAGTACAAGCTAAAACAATGCACCTCTGGATTTAGAAGAGGATATGCACAGAGCAGCCACTGTGTATGTAATCATGTGTGTGGGCTACTATGGATTGGTACACGGGATGATCAGCACGTAGGCACCGGAGTGAACGGGTGGTGTCCTGATCAACAACTTCAGAGCCGCATTTCTGACATTTCAAATTGGCAATCCTTCCTCATGAAGAAGATAAACAAGCGCTCTCCCTGGAAGAGCAAGTCTCATGTTGCACAAGAAAAGTTCTGATGTCAACACTTAAAGACGTAACCTCAGTTTATGTGTTAGGCTACTTCTTGCTCAAACTATTAAAGCCATCAGATAATTATTGTATATAGGCTAGTGTATAGGTGTCTCATACTGTAATCTTTTCAGTTAAAATCAGCAATTACAGCTGAAGCAGTAGATATTTTGCAGTCCAAAGTTTAGAAAAATAAGAAAAAGGCAAAAAGCCACAATGCACTGTTGGACATTATAGTAAGAAAAAAAAAAGAATCAAACAATAAAAATGTCATAGTACAACTGTTTGTTGAGAAACACATGCCTGACCTGCTGCATTGAAAATGGTGTCTTTAATATAAAGGCATATAATCTTATATCATTAAACAACGATGCAAACTGCATGCTTTTTAATCCTTTGAGTGTAGCTGCTAAACATTCCCTCAGGACATAAAATAGGCTACACAATGGTGCAGACTGGCCACTGGATGGTGATGTGAGCTGAATGAGAGGGGAGGAAAAGGAAATGGGGTGTTGCATGTGTTGTCTGCATAGTAAAGATTGGTATGGTTCTCTCCTGGTAATCTTATTTGCTCCTTACACCAGCATCAACTGTATCACGGTTTTAACGGGGAGTATGTGGTCATGTTTTTCATGAAGTACAAAGCAGGCACCATAAAGATAAATTAAATCATGATAAAACTGAAATGCAAAATATATTATCGGCTCCTACTGAGGGATTATTCACTTCGCTACAATTACAGAATATATTGGACAAAAGGCTATGACCCAGATAAACTCATGATATACAAATGCACATACATACACATACAGTACAATAGCAACTCTTAAACACATACAATGAGTCATGAACACACATATACAGTACATGGATGAATGTAGATGGGACACAATTACATACTTGCGGGGGAGAGAACTCTTTCCACATTCAATAAAAGGACTGATGGGTTTTCTGTTGGCAACACCTGACATGGTCACTATCTCTGTAATGAACAACACAGCTGTGACAGGAAACAGGGGGAGCCGTTAGGAAAACAGGAAGTAATTGGCTGCATTTACATGCACAGGATAACCTGGCTAGTGGTTGTATGTTGGCCAACCTCAAATCTGTTCTGAAGCCTGATATCTACAGGGTAAAGTAGTGACCTGTCCATCTTATCGAGGAGCAACAGTCAGAAGTCTTTTAGAGATTTTTAGCAGTTTAAACAGATATTCATTTGGATTTATGTTAATGCAATTAAAGGATGTGCAGTTCACCAAAGTTTTGTCCTTTTGTCTGCAAGGGCAACACGCTTTAGATGACAGAGGAAAAATATGGAGAAAATGGAAATAAGCCCCAGATCTTGAAAAGGAGTCTTTCAAAAATAATATAAATCTTGCCATGTTTGCGCAGCAATTGGTATTTGTAATAACCAGATTGTCAACCCAATTTTCTGATTATTATTTTCTGATTAATCCCAATTTGTCTCAGAAAAATACAAACAAATAAAATGAGTGCTAGGTATGTTTTCTCTAATACGGAGGAAGACAATTTTGATTCCAATAGGCTATTTGTTTACTGACATTTTTTTTACTGATATCAGTAAATACTGATCCACCATTCAGTCTGCATGTGTGCAGACAGCCACAACTAAAAGCTAATAGTGTTTTTATGTTACAGTATTCCGTAGTCTTGTATCATAAATTGGTATCTTGTAATCTGTAAAAGGTATTCCACCCAAAATCTAACATTAAGTGTAGCAACCCAAAAGCAAGTAAATTTTTGTAAGCAGGTTAAGTGCTGACATTTTTGTGATTTGTTTGGATTTGGATTTGGAGATTGTAAGGAAGATGATTCGTTTGAAGCAGGGGTGATATGTCCGTTGCCATGGGCACGCTCCCAAAAACTGACTGAATGTGTTGTCATGCAATCATGACAAGTCTGAAGATGGACTCCAGGTTGAAACCTTCATCCTGTGTGTCATTTTGTTCATGCCAGTCTGGTGTTCAATCACACCTGTCCTTTAGTCTGCTGATGGATCCAGTCAGTGAACTTGACCACCTGTGTGTAGACACCGGGGCGGTTCAGCCTTGCACAGCCCTCGCCCCAGCTCACAATCCCCGCCAGGAACCACCGTCTGCCTCGCTCTAGACACACCAACGGACCTCCGGAGTCACCCTGAGGGCACAGACATGCACAGTGATGCACATTCAGACGAACGTACACAAACATAAAGGAGCATTTCACTGCTGTGGATTAGTAGTTAGCTATAAGGTCCATTAAAGGTAAAAAAAAAAATTGAAATAATGCTGAGCTGGGGGAGGGGGTAATATTCTGAGAAAAAACTCATAATTTCCAAAATTAAAGAGGCAAATTTATGAGACAAAACTCAAAAAACTTAAATATTCTCTAAGATTATAAAGTCACAAGTTTAGGAGAAACAAACTTGGAAAATCCTATTTTTCATATATGCCTGTGTTATTAAAGGCTCTATACTCTGTTAAAAGCAGGGTGTGCAGTTGTTAATAACAACAGCTGCACATATAAGCTACATTCACCAACCAGTATTTTGAAATACTTTCTTCTTTTCATAGGCCCAAAGCATAAAACATTTGGCAAGAACTGCTGGCATTTATAAATGCCTAAGATGTGACACATGATTTCAAGTGGTTTTGTTGTGACTCTTTTCTTGTATTACTGATGACTGAAAAACACTCGAAAATCATTTTTCAGATGTTAGCTAACTGCTCTGACAGCTAACTAGTCTATTTATTAGTGAATCCAGCTTCCCCATTACTGCACTAATTCAACTAATTTTTACAGTACCTTTGTCCTAACTCTTGTTTATGACATGATATATTTTTCTTGTTTGTAATAACTATAATTTGTTGTCCAATGCGTTTTTCATAATTTCACAACAACTTCCAGTAAAACTTCTAAAAAAGGCTAACACCAGACTTCAATCTGTGTTGGGAATGTGTTTAACTCGCTGCATAGCCATGCATCTTCTCGCACAGCGAGGGCAGAAGAAGAAGAGCATGATGACCAAGACAAAAAATGTATGTGGGTTTGTCAGTTTCTCTTATCGTAATTCTCTTGTGGTTGAGAGACAGACATTCTGGGAAATGTAGAAAATCTTACAGAATTTGAATTTGGCAAGCTGTGCATTTTGTGGTTATGACTAAAAGGTTTGTGTGAACAGTATTCAGTATTTTTCCATAAAATTTAAAGTAAGACACACCAACACTGTTGCACACACTCACCTGGCAGGCATCCACCCCTCCCTGCAGGTTCCCAGCGCACAGCATCCTGGGAGTGACAGCGTCGTCATACAGCTTGTTACAAGTGTTCCTGTTGATGATCTTCACTGAGGCCTCTTGTAAGCGAGAGGCCAGTTCACCTTTAATTAAAACAAACACAAAGTGGAAACTCTTGTCTACATTGCCCTAGACTTAAGTTACCTTCTAAACAACAGATCTAAAAGCATACTTTTAGTAAATGGACCCTTGAACATCTCTTACCGTCCTCCATGAGGACCCCCCAGCCCGTGACATAGCAGCTTGTGCCTGTTGTGAAGGTGTGTGAGGGCGCCGGGATGCACACAGGCTGGACCACGTCGTTGAAGAAGACAGGAGCACTGAGCTCAAGAAGGGCGATGTCATAGTCAGAGGTGAACTGGTCATACTGCGGGTGGAGGAGGATCCGGCGAATCGGTCTAGTGGCTGCTCCGTTGTTCCCCGTAGTCATCACATGCATTCCCATGTGGGCCCGCCATGCACGAGCATCCGAGTATCTGCAGGCAATACATGCAAGAACTCAGTAAAACACATGACTTATGATAATCATCACAAGGCTTTCAGGCGTCTCTTTTACTTAATGGCGTCTGAGTCCTGGAAGCAGTGAGCTGCAGAGATGAGCCAGCGGCTGGAGACCAGTGTGGCTCCGCAGACGTGACCGTAGCGATCCATCTGGAGGCTGACCTGCCATGGCCATGACCCCGCCCCAGCATCAGAGCCACCCACTATCTTAGTACGCTTCCTGGGCCTGGTGCCACAGCCTGGTACACACAGGGAGACAGAGTAATCACAAACCCAGAATTACTTTTGGAAAGTCAGAGGACTTTCATTTTGGTTTTAAACACAAATACAAGAGTCTAAGGTTTAGTTTTGTGAGGGAGAACTTACCACAGCGCAATTCATCAGAGCTGTCGAAGCAGTCTTTGACGCCGTCACACTCAGGGTTAACCTTACTTACACACTTTCCATTGGCACATTTGTATGAAGATGAGGAGCAGCCTTTGAGGTCTAAAAAAAATTAAATATATAAAAATATAATCTTAGCAAATTCAATAGGGACCTCACACGGTCGTGCTCGGGCCCTAATTAGGTAGAGTGAAAAAAGGACACAAAATAGAGAAGAAACTACTTACAACATAATGTAAATAATAAAATAAACTTTACTCACATGCTCTGGTACAGTTGAGTTCATCACTGCGGTCTTTGCAGTCAATAACACCATCACACACTGAAGACTTTGGCAAACAGACCTTGTTGGGACACACGTGGTAACATTTACCTCCTGGAAACAAACACATGAGCTTTAATTATTAGATAAACACAAGCATATGCATGCGTTACAGTACGATGCTGACAGCCTACTCACCACAGATGCCCTCTTCACTGCTGTCTGCACAGTTGCTTTGACTCACACACTGGCTGCTTTGAGACCTACACTGGCCGTTCCCACACAGCACTTCACCTGGCCTGCAGGATGCTACATGTTTCACACACACATGTGCAAACGTGCACACAGAAACACATAGAAATCTGAGTGTAGCATATAGGTCATGTCTTTAAAATCAAAGTGATTAAGTGCGTTTACATTCACATTGCTATCCCGGTTTTGATCTTATATGGGATATAATGTTTACACAACAAACTTGGTAATTCAAGATCAAAACAGTTTCCAGGTGCCATTGGGTCTTGATTCCTAAACATCTCAGCCACTTGGAAACCTGAATAAAGCATTTACATGCCACAGTATCCTGATTTTTGAGTACTCCAGTTAGCATATCCACGTTTTATCAAAACTGGGATAAGACATTATCAGGTGCCTGAAACCAGGATATGATGTTTATATGTACAACACATAACAAGGATGGTCATAATTTAAACTAGGATGCTTATTGTCAACTTACACTAACAACTAAAAAAGGGAGACAAAAATAGAAACATTTTGTCAGAATGTTTAAATGAATTAAAAATTGCATCGGTCAAATGTACAGCTCTTTTGTATCTACAATTGTGCCTTTGGGCGACAGACTTACAGCATCTAACCTCGTCCCGTCCATCTAGGCAGTCTTTCACGCCATCACACACCTTCCTCAGAGGGATACAGCGTCCATCTCCACAGCGAAACTGGCGAGGACAGGCTGGAGACCGATAAGGAGAAGACTCGTTGGATTTATAGCACTCTATTTGCCGTAAACATGGATATGTGACCCCAAGTCAATGTATCAGTGCTAATAAAAAGTATTTTATGCCTCTCTGTCTCGGCACATTACAGTGTCATGCCACAGTGGAGTGTAATAACCACATTTTAACTTACTGCCCTCTGGAGAGAAGGCTCGGTAGAGCAAGTAGAAGCCCTTGTGAGTGAGAGATTCATCCGACTGGAAGTGGAGGGTGAGAGGAGAGGAATATACTCGCTTTTTGCTGCTGTCTGACACTGGATTACATAGTCTAGATATAGAGGAGCACAACAGTAAGGACTTTCACTTTTAATTCACACATGCAGCCTCAAAAACCAAACAAACATGAAATGTCTCAAACAGTTCTGACAGTTTCACAACCCACTTGACCCCTCCGATGTCCAGCCAGTCTTTCTCACAGCTGTCCGATGACGGGGATTCCTGAATGTCCATCGTCACGATCGTCGTGGAGATCAGGTAACCTGGCAACGGCGCCTGATAAAGTAACCAAAGACGACTAAAGAAAGAGTTTGCCCGCTGGAATGTGGACGGGCCTAATAACAAAGGGATGATTCACTCTTTCTTATTCCACTGTTTCTAACACTCTCACAACATGCATACATACGCTCATGTGTCTCACCCGTAGTGTCCAGGTGCAGTCTATATTAGGAGGGTAATAGGAAGGGTAGTAGGGGGAGGAAATTGAGCCGTTCCAGGAGGAAATTGACCCTCCACAACCTGCAATAGGAGATGGTGACACAGAATACACAATAACACTAATGCAGCATGATGCTAATCAATGGAAATAAATGATTCCAACACAAAGGCAGAAACATGAATATATAACACAAACAAGATTTGTAGAACTCAGACAGAACTGTGTATGCAGAGCACTCAAACCTGCTTTTGGGATGGCTTGAAAGTACGCTTTGAAGATTGCTCCATCCCTCTGTCTGCTGAAAGAGAAGGTGACCAACATCACATTTCCAGAGGATGTCAGCTTCATGACAGGGGATGAACCCGAAACAGGCAGCCCACACCACCTGAGAGACAAGTAAATGCATCCAGGGTATGTTTATATACTCAATATCTAAAAGAGACATATTTTAGAGAGATCAGTGCAGATGTCCATAAACTCCATAAAATGTCTTAACCTGGCAATGATCTTGTTCTGTAATGGAAGTAAAAAGTCGTAGGCTGAGAGCTTGTGGGCGGTGCAGCTTCCTGGCGTGGCACCATGCAGGGTGAGGATGACTAGTCGAACCACATGACCCGATGGCACACGAAGACGCCACTGGTAGTACGGCTTCTTGGGACTCACGAGGCTCAGGGTGCGGTTGTTGCCATATTTGGCATAGAGGTCAAAGGACATTGCTAGGAAGAGGAAAGGATGGACATTTTTTTTGTGTTATAATGTTAGTGTTGGTAGGAGTGCACTGCAATCAAAAGAGCACATAAATACAAAGTTTAAGTTCAGCAGCAATCCAGACAGAGATCATCATTCAGCTAGATTAGGGACAAGCCTTTGATGTATGTTCTTGGTTTTAGTCAGACGCTGTGCCTCAATCACACTTTTTTACTAATTTTTAACTCACCATTAGACATCAGATCTTCAGGTTTTGTAATATAAAGTCGGTGGCATGCTCTCCTCACCTTGGAAGCCAAGCTGCCACTTCCCACTCTGGAGGCTGTTTGGATTCTTACTCTTGTCTGATTTGTCATCCGATTCAAAGTCGTCAGGGTCCAAACCTACACACAGCAATTGTCAAAATACTCTAGAGCAATGCAGGTGTATAAAACCACATTATTAACAAAGGCTTAGCAGTTAATTACTTCATCACTTGTTTCTATTTGAAATGTAATGGCTGTGTTTACAACTTTCACATGGACATATCTGTGTTGTTAATGTGCAAGCACTATATGTATGCAGACTACAGTGAGAGAATGTACCCAGCAGGTGGAGCATGTTGTCATCCTGCTCCATGTAATAGCGCTGCTCGTTGCGGCTGTCCCGCAGAACCTTGTTACTGCCAGGAAGCCTGCGCTGCAGCCTCTCCAGGCTAGAACTCCGGATCGCCGTTGCAACGTCGTCCGGGGCGGAGAATTTACTCCAGTAGAAGACGGTGAGCCCTTCCGCTCCTTCACTGTCACACAAAGGGTTTACAATGTTGCTATTATGCAGGGGACATACAGCCGAGTCTGTTGTTGCCATGCAGATTCCTTTTACATATGAGCTCCTGCGCGTTTCATTTTATCAGTAGGGTTTTGTTAGTGCAGCATACCTGAAGGCAGTAATTCCTGAGTGCAGGTAGTAAGAGCTCCACGGTGAGGACTCGTACAGATCTGAGAACTGTTTTTTTTTTAAATGCAAAAAGACAAAAGAAAGGAGGGTTGACCACGTACTGTACATTATTGTAGGTGTGACATCATAGCGGTGCAAGTGAGGTCACTTTTCTAGTGTAAGCAACACATGAACACCCCTGTTCGAACATGCAGCCAGAATTCAACAAAAGAATTGTTCTTGTGTGTGTGTGTCTCAAACTCTGCATGTGTGTATGTTGACTTTGAGCAACACAGAGCTCCATTGTGGCTCTAACTGCCGACCGTGTAGAGGTAGGACCCTGGGTGGTATGGGCTCCTGGCCTTGAATTCACCTGTTCTTTAATGAACAGATGGCTCCAGAGATACTATGACCACTTAACAAGCCTGCTAACTCACCCTTACAGCTGATTACAGGAGCATCACACTATGTCAACGCAGGTTTTTGGGGGATATACGCCTATGAATTCGCCAAAATCCTAGCCCCCCGCCACACCACATCTGTTTCCCAATCCTTCTTTCATCCCATCCTGCCCTACTGCCCTGTCTCTCCCTCTAAACCCCAGCGTCAGACTGAGGTTCTCCTCCTCTCTGTAGTGTACGGCGCACAGAGTGGCTTATTGTGTGAAAGTTACACAGACAATGTTTTTATTGAAGGCCTGCTCTTCCTCTCACTCTAGCTGCCTGGGCCTAGCTGGGCTCACAAATGCTGGGCTTGTCCTCGGCCCTGAAAGGGCCCTGTCCCAGGGGGTCTTGGGGACTCATACACACACTGTGCCCAGCTCCTGTTTCAGCTTTACATTTAACACCACCAGAGAGAGAAAGGAGAGAAGAAAGTGGTGGGCAGAACAAAAAAAACCAAAGCAAGAGAGAAAGAGAGAGAGAGAGAAGAGGACAAAGCCAATAGAGAGAAAAGCAAACAAATAACAATGCAGACAGACATCAACAGAAGAGAATGGGAAGGAGAAAGAGGGCAGCAGTATTTTGAAAGTCCAGCATAAAAAGACACTACTAGCCTGCTGCAATGAACAGCGACAAAGTTAGAGCAGCAACATCAGCTTCAGCCCAGAGCAGGAAGGTCGAGTGGCACTCTAAAGTGTCATTCAGAGGAGAGGTAGTGACGGACAAGACCACTGTTTCCAACTTACATAATGGTTCAAAGCCTGAGCCTGCAGGCGGAACTGAGGGGAGGTGGAGTCAGTCAGCTCTGAGGAGAAGCTCAAGTTTGGGAACTCCACGCTGCCACCGAGGAAGAACACTGAGGAGGGGGGAGCTGGGGAGGAAGAGGTAGATTTAAGACAGGTACACTTATGGGACTGTGCATGTCGAAACTGACACATTTTAAGGACAGGAGAGGTCTGAGAAACGTCTAAAACACCAAAGCAGCTGTACTCACATGCTAAGTAGTGGAGAGTCAGTGCAATGGCGGCAGTGAAGGGAAAGAAAGGCAGGAGACCTGACAGCCATCTCCTCCAGGAGCCACAGGCTAGAGCTCGCCCCCCCTCCACCCTCTGCTCTGCCCGATCCTCAGGCTTCGTGGGGGGGCTCAGTGACTGGTTGGGCTCCTTCAGCTCCCCCTCTCCCTTCCAGAGACAAGGACATGACTCAAATATCATACCAGCATTTTATGTCTGTGCTCAAGTTGCTTCTAATTGTTTGGATTGCATCTTTATGTGGCCGCAGCAGATTGGCGATAAAGAAAATGCAGCCTATCTGCCAAAATCAATGAGACATAGATTTTATGGCTGAGCAGACACTGATTTACTGAGAGTAACGGTGAACATCTTAGAGCTGAAAGGATCTCCTTAAACATTTAAGGGGTTGGCAGGATTCCCCGGGGCAGCAGACAAAGCGTGGCTGGAGGAGTCTGCTTTCCCACGGCCTGGCTCTGCGGTGTCAGCACTCAATCAAGTGGCTCACCCTGACACGGACATTCATGACAAAGAGACCCACATACCCATAGACACATATTTTACAATTAACAACAGTGACTGAGTCGGCTTGATTGGTTCTGATTATTATGCAAACTTCTGGTATTGCAAAAAAAGTTCCCCAAACGTTAGATTAACAGACTAATTTCGCGCTATAGATACAACATATTGTAAATGTATAACAGGAAGAATTGACATAATAGTTCTGCAGAAAGAAAAGTCCCGTTTGGCACTGGTTTTCCGCGCAATGAACGATGACAGATTACCTGTGCAGCAGAGTGTCCATGCCCGGAGACGCAGTACACTTCGCAAGTTTTGCTTTTGGGGAGAGTCCTCATAGCACTGTCCCGTTCAGGTCCGGAGAGGCGATATGCAACAATACCTCAGGCATAGAAACGATGGCGAGAGAGGAAACCCCCGCTGTCGCTTCCTTTGAAAAAAAAAAAAAAAAAAAAACAGCCCCGAAATCCGACCTGAGAGGCTCGGATGCGGCTGGCATTCACCGCCTCCCGTTTACCTGAACAGGGCGGCAGGTGTCACACGGAGCCCCAGAATGCAGTGCGGGGGACAAAGAGCCCACTATGAAAGGATTCAATCCGCACAACCATCCGTGCGACAGATATTGTGGGCAAACTTTCCTCGCCGAACATGCGGGAGTGACGCTAGGGGGGACAAAAGGGTGCTTGAGGGAAACGTGTGCGAGGTATTATAACTGGAGCTTGGCTGCTGTGTCCTTGGATGCTCCGCAGGGGCACAAAGCAAGACAGAACCTGCAATTACAAACCTGGCACCATACCTATCCATAGTGAGGCAGGTCATAACATGGGCTTACAGTATCAGACTTGGAAGGAGGAATGCAGCAAAAAAAGGCTTCCTGAAGACAATTCAAATCTTTCAAGGCACTTTGTCTTAGGTGTCTGTGTCAGTTGCACATTCATTGCACCTTGTAATATCAGTAAAAGGCAGATATAGCTCTAAAAAATACACAGCCACTGTATCTGATGATGTTTTTTTTTTATTTGGTGTGAGCAACAGTGCAAGTATTAAAGCTTCTGCTGGCAGCGGATGAATAAGATATCATCTCAGCTGATATGGCTGTAGATCCAGGAGGTGAACTTGTTGACCCTGGTGTAGACCCCAGGCAGATTTGGTCTGCCACAGCCTGCCCCCCAGCTGACAATGCCGATCAGGAACCAGCGACCCCCGTCTGGAGCCTGACAGGACAGGGGACCCCCTGAATCGCCCTGAAACACAAACAGAGTGCAGTTGATTCAAGTATACACCAAAAGTTTCAAAAGTATACATTAAAATGCAGGTGGGTGGATTCAGTCAGATGTGAGCTCACCCTGCAGGCATCTCGCTGCCCAGAGGGGATGCCGGCACACAGCATGCGTGGTGAGACAGGTCCGTAGCTCTTCGTGCACTCAGTCTGGCTCAGTAGGGACACCTCTGCTTTCTGCAGCACCGAGGGCAGCACTTTGTCTGCGGGCAGGTGAGGGAGAAGTGGGACACTAATGGAATACCCCCCCCGTTCCAGCCCCCCCGCGACCCTGCACGCAGTAAGCAGTTGACGATGGATGGATGGATGGAGTCACTGAGCTCTATCAAAGGCATTGCTCACCTTCCTCGGAGCGGTATCCCCACCCGGTGACCCAGCAGCGGTGGCTGTCGGTGACAGTGTGGGAGGGGGGAGGCAGGCAAACGGGCTGGATCAGCGGGATAAGGGAGGGAGGCCAGGGCTTCTTCAGCTGCAGCAGGGCGATGTCATAGTCGAACATGTACGCGTTATAATACTCGTGCACCACGATTCGCTGGATCTCCGCCACGTGCTTGGCACTGCCCTGTGTCAGCATGCCGAGGTGGGCGCTCCAGTAACGTGGGTCAGACAGCCTGGGGGAGTCAGAGGTCAGGGGTCAAAGGCACTGTAGGAGGAAATTTTGTAGATTATACTGTATCTAATAAATCTAGATTTTTTCATAAAATCAACACAATAAGCCAGTAGCTGATAACGTAATAACTGCCAGATGAACTAATAACTTCTTCAACTTTGTGATGTGATTAAAACTGTAAATACAATAAATTGGCAGATGATGTACAGACATCATTACTACCTGGTGATGGTTTTAATAAAAACTTTTTTGCTTGTGAAATGCTACATACTTTTGCATCTTCAGGTCTGTGAAACCCATTCTATTTAAACAATCTGAGGAGGAAAAATCCCTCTTTGGTTGAAATGCTCATAATTATCATTAAAACTAAAAATTCAGAATGGGAACCCCTGCCTTATCAGTTACTGTAAGCCTGCTGCTCAGCATATTAAATCTGTAGTTTTTACATACAGTAGCCATTATAGAGATCAATATTAAACAATAACAAAATGTTGCTAATCAGCAGTGACAGTGACTGACCTTTCCTTATTGAAGCAGTGCGCTGCAGAGATGAGCCAATCAGAAGAGATGACGGACGCACCACAGTACAGGTTACCGGAGAAGAGGAGGCTGACCTGCCATGGCCACTCCCCCTCCCCAGAGTTAGCTCCACCCACAATACGCTCAGGTCCTGTAGATGAGCCCACCTTTTTTACCAAGGAGGGACGACCACAGGCTGAGGAGTACACAGTGATGGATTTTGTTGTTATACTGGTTATATTACACTGGACTTCGGAGCTTGTGTGTGCAGGTGTATAAACTGCATATTGTCATATTGTTATTCAAAAGGATTGCCTCTAACAAAAGAATATCCCTAAATGACAGATACAAAACAACATGTTACTATTCTTATATTCAAATTAGCTTTATTGGCATGAATGTATAGCAACAATATTGCCAAAGCTATATATAAAGTACTATAGTACTAAGGACTATTCTTATTATTATGTGCATGTGTGCCTGTATCAGTGTGAGTATCCAGTACGAGTGTGTGTTTGTACACCTACAATATCCACTATGCTGACATGCTGAGTCATCACCACGACTGACAGGTCTGTTGCCGCCTTATTAAAAAGTACAGCTTTGACGTGTGTGTGTGTGTGAGCGGACACGTGTGCATGTACAGTACAGTATGCCTAGTATCTGTGAGTGATCAAAGACAAGCCTGTTCCCATCGCCTGGAGACCCCATCATGATAAAATAACAGCAAACAGTGAAAGCTATTACAGCTGGGTCACCTCAGCGCTGCAGGTCAGCAGGTTTGGTGCACACTGCCCAGAGGATTATGAAACAACAACAACTTTCTCATGAATAATCACTATGTAGTGTTTCATTGAGAAACAATTCAGGTGGGACCAAAATGTGTGTGATTGTAGCTTAGGCTGAGTTGGTAGATCATTGACGTGGTCTTTATTTTAGGAAATTTAAAGTTGAAGACATGTTCCTGACAGGCAGCGTCCAACAGGTATGGTGGTAGTAGGCCAGCAATTAAAGTGATTATGAAAAAGGTGGAGAAAACTTCTTACTTCATCTTACTTGCATAATTCAACATACATACGGCTGGAACTGGATGTTTAAGGTCATGTTACAAAAAGTAAACAGTTCTGCACCATTGCATTATACCACATGTTGGCATTTGAGTCACTTTAAAGACGGAAAGTGTCAAGATTTATTACAAGAAAATGGGATAGACGTAGCATTATAAAAAAAATCTTTGGCAATATTATCGAAAAATGTGTGTGTGTGTTGTGGCTGTGAAATCAAGCACATGGATCAGGTAATGCTGAGCACTCACCACAGTCCACCTCATCACTGTGGTCCTGACAGTCATAAACACCATCACACTTTGCGTTCTTTTTCAGGATGCAGGAGCCACTTTTGCATTGATACCGGACTGCAGAGCAGGTTGTTTCTGCAGAGAACATGTTGCAATATTTAGTGGTTAAAAGGGTGAAAAAGGGAATTGCATTTCTAAAAAGACTTTTAGAAATTCATACCCTGAGTGCAGTTGATCTCATCTATTCCATTGGTGCAGTCTGTCTCTCCGTTGCATACAAACGAAGGATGCAGGGGACTGTTGCCACCACAGTTCTTTGTGGGCCTTGCTGTAAAGATATGCAAGATTTTTCCAATGCATGACTGATTCCTCAGGCAAATATCAGTTGATACAGTGTAATGTGTAACCATTACATTACAGAACACAGAAGTAATCAAAATGTCAATCAATATTAAATACAGTATCTCACAAAGTGAATACACCCCTCACATTTTTGGAAACATTTACTTTTCGTATGTAAAGTAGTGAGTGTACAGCTTGTATAACAGTGTAAATTTGCTGTCCGTTCAAAATAACACATCACACAGTCATTAATGTCTAAACCACTGGCAACAAAAGTGAGTACACTCCTAAGTGAAATACAAATTGGGCCCAATTAGCCATTTTTCCTCCCCTGTGTCACGTGACTTGTTAGTGTTAAAAGGCCTCAGGTGTGAATGGGGAGCAGGTGTGTTAAATTTGGTGTTATTGCTCTCACACTCCCTCATATTGGTCACTGGAAGTTCAACATGCACCTCATGGAAAAGAACTCTCTGAGGATCTGAAAAAAAGAACTGTTGCTCTACATAAAGATGGCCTAGATGCCAAGAGCCTGACACAGAGCTGCAGCACGGTGGCCAAGACCACACAGCAGTTCAACAGGAAAGGTTCCACTCAGAGCAGGTGTTGCCATGGTTGACCAAAGAAGTTGAGTGCACATGCTCAGTGTCATATCCAGAGATTGTCTTTGGGAAATAGACGTATTGAGTGCTGCCAGCATTGCTGCAGAGGTTGAGGGGGTTGAGGGTCAGCCTGTCAGCGCTCAGACCGTACGCCGCACACTGTATCAAATTGGTCTGCACGGCTGTCGTCCCAGAAGGAAGCTTCATCCAAAGATGATGCACAAGAAAGCCCGCAAACAGTTTGCTGAAGACAAGCAGACTAAGGACATGGATTACTGAAACCATGTCCTGTGGTCTGATGAGACCTTATTTGGTTCAGATGGTGTCAACCAGGTGACGAGTACAAAGACAAGTGCTCCTTGCCTACAGTCAAGCACGGTGGTGTGAGTGTCATGGTCTGGGGCTGCAGGAGTGCTGCCGGTACTGGGGAGCTACAGTTCCTTGAGGGAACCATGAATGCCAACATGTACTGTGACATACTAAAGCAGAGCATGATCCCCGCCCTTCGGAGACTGGGCCGTAGGGCAGTATTCCAACATAACGACCCCAAACACACCTCCAAGACGACCACTTCCTTGCTAAAGAGCTGACGGTAAAGGTGATGGACTGGCCAGGCATGTCTCCACATTTAAACCGTATTGAGCATCTGTGGGTCATCCTCAAACGGAACGTGGAGGAGCGCAAGGTCTCAAACATCCACCAGCTCTGCGATGTCTTCATGGAGGAGTGGAAGAGGACTCCAGTGGCAACCTGTGAAGCTCTGGTGAACTCCATGCCCAAGGGGGTTAAGACAGTGCTGGAAAATAATGGTGGCCACAAAAAATATTGACACTTTGGGCCCAATTTTCACTTAGGGGTAATCACTTTTTTTTTTGCCAGCGATTTAGACATTAATGTGATGTTTTATTTTGAGGGGGCAGCAAATTTACACTGTTTCACATGCTGTACACTCACTACTTTACATTGTAGCAAAGTGTCATTTTCTTCAGTGCTGTCACATGAAAATGTATAATCAAATATTTACAAAAATGTGAGGGGTGTACTCACTTTTGTGAGATACTGCAACTTATATCAAAAACATGTCTAATCAAAATATATATAATGAATATTTTATTCAATCACCCTGATGAAGCACATTAGAATAATGACAATAGTAGCATATTAAAATGAATCAAATTTCCACATCACTGATGTGTTGTGATAACAGATGTTAATTAGGCTACTTTACTTAAAACTTTAAATGTTTCTGACATGAATTTATTTCAGAATTGAGAAATATGCAGTATGATAATCGCATGTATTTTTGCATCAGTGTGGGCCGAAGACAACAACTGAAACTATTACATACGACAGTCACAGATTGTTAATCCAGCTGTTTTCTCGCTTATAAGTGGCCGTTAAATAAACAGAGAAAATATGAAACGGCCGAACGTTAGATGACACACGGTATAACGTTACGTCACCATGACAGAAATTACTTTTAACATGAAGGCGATCAAGGAAAACTTTAGCATGTCGAAGGCGCGGTCTGCAGCTTGTCCGGTCCGGGAGTCCCACAGTGCAGTGCAATGCAGTGACGCCTCAACGCACGTAATGCGAGTCGACGTATTTATTTATTTATTTAATCGATTACGACTCGCCCCAGCCTTACAACTTACAGCAGAAGACCTCGTCGCTCTCGTCCTGGCAGTCGTCTAGGCCATCACAGCGCCGACTCTTCTCCACACACAGCCCCGTGGAGCACAGGAAGTGGCTCTCTGGGCAGGCTGATGCACGTATGAATGGGAAAATTTTTTAGAAAAAAGTTATTATACATATGTGATAGGGAAGTAGCAGGAAGATAAACAGAACTAAATCCTTAAAAAAAATAAAGTGCATAAAAAAGCTTTATCTTCTATGGTAATAGTGGTAGTAATCAAGTGAAGCGTACTGTACAGTGAATAAGTGACAAAAGTAGTTCTACTTAATTATCTTCATCTTCTGTAAAACAGGTCCATGTTTACATTCTTTTTTATATTAAATATTTTTTAATATTTAGTGGCAAAATGCCCATCCAATGTATTTATGGTCTATTATCTCTCTGTAAAGTATGTGGTCATTTTTAGAATCCACTTCAAAACAAAGTAATTAACTCACATCCACACTCAAGTACAATGAAACACCTATGATTGGTCATTTCCTAACGGCGCTTCCTGGCTGTTCTAATGAGTCACGCTCTGGCTCCTGCAGTGCTTACGTTGGCTGATATTGTAGCTGTTGTAAGACGCCTGGAAAGGCTGAGCAGAGTTACGTGAGCTGCAGCGAAACACCACCTCTGGGCTGTGGTCAGCGATCCGAAACACCGTGTGGTGTCCCACGTAGCTGCCACAGAATCTGCGGAAGGAAAGCAACCATCAGCAAGCCATCACAGGATGTTGCTGTGGGATGAACTACTGAATAATATATCCACCATTTGATAAGAGGATCTTGTCAAGCTTAGGGAGACATGATTGTAGAAATGTGTAAAAATGTACAGAATTTTACAGTAGGTTTTGTTTTGAGTTCAAAGTTGCCTTTATATCTATATGCATGTAGCTTTACACACGTACATGACTTCATTGACCTTCCACCAGCCGTGGTCACAGCCCTTCAGGTCCTTTGGTTTCAGTACATAGTTCTGAAACTGCAGAGCAACTCCCAACACACTATTAGGGGTCTAGAATGAAACATAAACAGAAATTCATAATCAAAGCTTTTTTTAAGTCACCATTTAAGTAACTCACTCAAGTCATGTGTGTGTGTCCTACCTCAAACCTCCAGGTGCAGGAGCACTGTGGGGGCAGAAGGCTGGGGTGGAAGGGACTGTAAATCTGACCAGTGACATCAGGCTCCAACTGGATATCCATTTGAGACATACATACTGAGAAAGACAGAGATCAGACTTAAGGATTATTAATTCCCTTTTTATGAAATTGTATCACAATTTGGAGGGGAATAATCACTTTGATCCTAGACATTAAATCAAGTAGACATTTATGTACACATAAGCCAAAGAGATGGGGAACCACCGACATAAAAAATTCAGTGAATGTCTCATACTTTCTTCAGCAATGGCCTCAAAGTGTCCTCTGAAGCTCTTGTTGCCATTAGTCATCCTGAAGGACAGCAACATGACATTGGAGGTAGACACCAGGGAGAAGGAGCTGGACACTGGCTCACACAGCCTGCAGCACAGAGATACACTTCAGTATATGCAAGATTTCAGAGAACTTACAAAAAAACAAATACCAGCAAGAAGCCTTTTAATAAGCTCGCAATTGTAATACGTGGAAAAACATCACATTGTCTTGTTGGCAACAGGCCTGTCTTAATCACGCGAGGAGAGGAAGCAGCGTTCTAAGGAAAGCTGCCGACTCACCTGTGCAGAATGCGCCCTCTCATGGGCAGCAGAGCATCGTACACAGTTAGGGCATCGCTCACACAGTCGCTGGGCTCAATGAGGAACGAGGTGACGCTCAGACGGATCAGGGAGCCGGGGACAGCGGTGAGCTTTACATAGCAATTCACACCACCCCATGATGAAAAGACGTTTAAAGGGACACTGGCCCCGGGAAGGTTGGCATACAGCTTATCCACACACTGAGAGTCTGGGAGGCGAGAGGGGGGAAAAAACAACACTCATGGACACACATGGCATGCAGGGTTACTTTTATTACAACTTAAGAGTTATTGCCTACCTGCTCCATTTGATGAAAAATCTGATCGCTGAACAGCTGCAGGAAGACACAACAGTCAATCTCTGCATTGATAAACACACTTAGGATGCACGTGTCAAGACACTGACGCACCATTGATGAGGATGGAGTCTATATCAACAGGGAGACCCAGCAGGTAGCCCACAGAAGACCTGTTAGTCAGGCTGGTGTACACTGAATCTCTAAAAATGGCTCCTACACACTCCTCACACACTGCCGGGCTCTTTAGATGAGGGACCACAAACACCATCCAGAAATGAACCAGCACACCGCCCTTGTTGTTGTTACTGGGTGAGGAAAACAGAGTATACATTAAAACAGGGTGTGTTGCTCGGTTGTAAATAAGTGGAATCAAAAGCACAAGCTAAATCATAAATATCAGCTTTATGATGACGATGACTAACACAGTACCTGAGGTCTGAAATGACAGCTTCCTTGTAGAGTCTGGCCACTGAGGACATCTTGTACACGTTGCTCACCTGCGAGACACCAGCAATTAACAGTAAGACTTTCTCAGCTCTCATGATCAGCACTAAACGTCATGTAAATAACAGGGCTACACTGACACATACCACATTTTGTATTTTTCTTGCCATGGATACAAACTCATGGGACTCTGCCTGGCGGTACTCGGGGATAAACTCCACATTAGCAACACGGAACATCCCGGCAAAATACACTCCACTGTTGCTTTCCCTGCGAACTAAAACAAATATATATCAAATTGCCTTATCTGGATCCGTTTCAATGTAATGTAACAACCAACTAATGTTAGATGATGTCAGACGTACAAAAAGTACTAAGAAACATAAATGCTGGTAAAAAACACCCCAGTAGAATTTGTGTTTTATGCACTATATATGTATTGTATTATGCTCTGAAAAGATATACATTTTTATGGGACTGAAGTATAAGTCCTTCACTCACATATGAAGACCCACAGCAGCGACCACGTGATCACCAACACCACAGACACCACTGCTGTGATGATGACCGCGACGTGCGGGACGTTCAACAAATGGGCCCACAGCCTCTGGAGTCCTTTGGGCTTCCGTCTAGTCTTCCTGTACTTCCTGCAAAGCTTCTGGAGAGTGTGGTCAACCGTGGCCACCTCCACGGCCACATCTGCAATCTACAGCCGGGGGAGGGACACAATCACACATCAACACAGATGTGCCATCGTGGTAGCGGTACATTTTACTTGCTCTTTCGAGTTGTCACTTCAGTCTGTGCGGATTGTAATAGGTTAATGATGCTGAAATGATGTGAAAAGCACAAACAAGAGGCTCTCGATACTGTAGCTCACTTGCCAACTGTGTTAGAGCCCTAAGGATTCAGTGTTGGGACAAAAGGCACATTTGAGCGATGCTGGATCTCTTCGAGGAGATCAGTAGGTTAAATTACCAGAGAAACATGAAAAGGGCATAACCCTGCCGCTACCATCTTCTCTTATCATTGTACCTTATCCAGGTCAGCTCGTTTACATTACAGTAGACGGAACGACATGCTAATCAATCCTGAATGCACAGAGACATGGGTGAGCAAGTGTTTAAATAGTACAACATTGCGCCACAGCGTGTACTGAAAGAACACCAATGTTCATAAAGTTAAACCAAACTCGCACATGCCAACAATGACATAAGCTTGTGTCCACTGCTAATGATGCGCCATTACTGGTCACTTTAGCTTTTGAAGGGGAATGCCTAACTCCATCAGACGCAGCGCTCGGCACTCATTAAGTTACCCAATGCGCATGTATTATTCATTCAGAGTCATCCCATACTGTGCAAGTGGCACTTAATCCATCACAAGTTAGCAGGACATAGATTCCCACAGGACCAAAAAAAAAAAGTTCAATCTATTTTACACACATTAAGCAACATGACAAAACATGTGACTTAAAGGTTTTGATGTGTGTACAGACACTCCAGTATTTAGGGTTTAATTTAAAGAAACAGATAAACTCCTGATTAAAATGCGACAAGAATTTAAAATACTGTTCAGTTTCAGTCACAGTAGAAAAACCCTGTGTTAAGGATGCATCTTACTCACACTGGCAGCGTCCTGTTGAGATGCATCATCATCTCCGCTAGTCTGCTTGTTCTCCTCGCACTCTGTGCCCATGACATAGGCATCCCTTCAAGCCTCTATCATCTAATGCCTGATTTCCGGTTATTAAGATCCATTCTCTTTTCTTTCAGAACAAAAACAGCAGCAGACAAAAGAAACTGCAGAGACACACAACAGTGTTTGGATGCACAGCTGACCGGTGTGTGAAACCAGATCCTTCAGCACAGGCCACGTACATGGCAACGTACCTCCTCCAGTCCTATGGCTAATGTTTCCTTTCATTAACCTATTTCGAATTCACAACATGAACTAATATTCAACAGCCACAAGGTCTACAGTATTTGCTTAGCTGCATAAGCAAACAATTATTTTAAAGTGACAACATTCTTGTTAGACATGTTTGTACAAGAGTTTTATTTACAGTGTTAACAAGGAAGGTGAATGTGTCAGTTAATTTATCCTCTGGCTGTTTTAAGCTCAGAGTTGACAGACCTCAACACACAAAAAAAAAAAAAAAGAAAATAAAAAGGGTCCAGCCTTTGTGAAATAAACTAAAACCATGTATGTCAACGTATAAAGCGGAATATACATTGTTGTCATAATTCACATTAAAACATCTTTCAGGTGGAACTAATAAGACAGGGTGGGAGTCTTGAGTGAGCAGCATCTTTAACACACCAACAAAATGGAGTCAGTTTTTTAACACTTTAGTCATGCCCCTTCCTTCCAAATTGTAGGCACTGAACTTCAACAGGCAACAGAAACAGACACATTGAGAAAGACACGAGGCACAAAAACAGAACTTGACAGAACATTCACAGGCAGAAAAATACAGGGAAAAAATTGAGTCTTCAGGACAGTTTGGTGTGTGCTCTGAACATGCACAGGGAGAGAAAAAGATGAAGGAGCAAAGCCTCATTTCCTGAAAAAGGCGTTGCGGGTGATGTTGTACAACAAGTGGTAAGGCTTTCGTTTTGGGGGCTCGGCCAGTGAAAAGACCTGCTGCTGAGGCACGCTGGTTGGAATGGTGATGTGACGCTGGTGAAGTGGGTGCAGGTTTTGGTGGTGTGGTGGGACAGAACCAGAGTACCCAATGGCTAAATGGTGAACAGGCAAAACAAAAGCGAAAAACAAATTACAAAAAATAAATATAATTAGATACAAGTGAAATGAAGAGTGACTAAACAGCATGAACGACAAGAAAAATACTTCCTTACTTTTGTTCTTCCCCTGTTTGGCTCTTCTGGCATTAACAATGGCCTGTTTTCTTTGCTCTTCACTGATCTCCATTCCTGCCAAGAAACACACACAAATACACCTTCAGCTCAAAATATTTCTGACCACCCCCAACTTCCAACAATAATTTTACCCTGTTCACCTTTTCCTTGACATCTACCCACAACAGCTGATTTGCATCATGAATGCAAGGAATTCAGCACGACTCACCCATCTCTTGGTCTTCCTTGACTCTGTATCTCTCCTTGGCAAAGGCCTGTAACCACCTCTGCTTGTCCTGGGTCTTCCTGCAGCACAACACACACATAAACTCCAGAGTGGTAGAGTTGCGGAGGCGCAGAGCATTCCTCAGGGTCAGGCCCAGGTCTAGGTCCCGTCCATCGGGTGTGTCTACCACTTCAGTCTGGTCCATATCCAGCCGTCCACGGTAGTGAAGCAGGTCTCTGCGCAGGACGTCTTTTTTACAGAAGACCAATTGGTGGTCAAACAGAAAGAAGCTGCGCTGTTGCATTTTCCCTTGTCGGACGACTCGAGTCAGCTCACCAGAGTGGATCAGCTCTGAGCTGCGCTCTAGCACGTCAGTTCCCTGCAACATGTTTACATACATTAAATACATGATATACACTATACGCAGAAAAGTATTGGGACACACCTCCATATTACACATAGAGGAGCTTTTCTGACATCCTATTCTAAATCCAGAGGCATTTATATTAAGTTGATCCCCCCTTTGCAGCTACAACAGCTCCCACTCTACTATAAAGGCTTTCTACAAGATTTTGGAGTTTGTCTGTGGGAATTTTTGCCCGTTCATTCAGAAGAGCATTTGTGAGGTCAGACACTGATGTTGGGCCTGGCTTGCAATCATCGTTCCAGTTCTTCTCCAAAGGTGTTAGATAGGGTTGAGGTCAGGGCTCTGTGTGGGCCAGTCAAGTTCTTCCACACCAAACTCATCTAACCACGACTTTATGGCCCTTGGTTTGTGCAAAGTCACGCTGGAACAGAAAAGGGCCTTCCCCAAACTGTTCCCACAAAGCCGGAAGCTTAGAATTTTCTAAAAAGTCTTGGTAAGCTGAGGCATTAACACTTCCCTTCAGCGTAACTAAGGGGTTTAGGCCAACCCCAGAAAAACAACCTCATAGCATTATTCCACCTCCTGCACACTTGCAAAGTTGGCACAACGCAGTAAGGCAGGTAATGTTCTCCTCATATTCACCAAACCCAGACTGGTCCACTTCTCCAGAGTCCAGTGACGATGCGATTTTCACCACTCCATCTGAAGCTTGCCATCGTGCTTGGTGATGTAAGGCTTGCATGCAGCTGCTCAGCCATGGAAACCCATGCCGTGAAGCTCCCGGGCGCAAAGTTTTTGTGCTGATGTTAAAGCCAGAGGAGGTTTGGAACTATGCAGTTATTGAGTCCGCAGAGCGTTTGTGACTTTTACGCACTACGCACCACAACACTGGTGTTGGTAACTTTACGTGGTCAACCACTTCATGGCTGAGTTGCTGTGGTTTCTAAACGCTTCCACTTTGTAATAATACCACTTACAGTTGATTTGTGGAATATCTAGGAGGGAAGAAATTTCACAAACTGACTTGTTGCAATGGTGGCATGCTATTACAGTACCACGATCGAATTCAGGGAGCTCTTGAGAACGACCCATTCTTTCACAAATGTCTGTAAAGGCAGACTGCATGGCTAGGTGCTTGATTTTATACACCTGTGTCAATGGGACTGAATGAAACACTTCAATTCAATGATTAAGCGGTGTTTCCCAATACTTTTGTGCATATAGTGTATTTAATATTCTTTACATAACGTTGGCAAAACATATTGGCTACATTTAATTAACAAACAAAGTAAAAATTATAATATTGATTAGTCATCACCTCCCAGTGCAGAATGGCCACCTGCCAGTGAGCAATGGTGTCGACACTCTCTAGCCGTCTCTTCCTCTCGTTTATCAGACTGGCCACATTCTTCATAGCGTCATACGCTTTGCTCACTCCGCTGTAGTCACTGCAATAAATCAGTAAAGGAACAATGAGCAAAGGGTCCACCTTACACATAAATTTGATAGAAAGGACATTTCCATTTATAGTAACACATTGCTTCAATCTTAATCATGGAAAGGTAAGTAAATCAAACCAGTGTGTGGACCACCATTAAATCTTTACTTAAGATGAAATTTTTCTGAGCACTATGCAGGTCACTTAAATCCAGGTGAGCTGATGAATGAATGGACCATTGATGGTTACTGAACTAGTTAATGCTAGCTGATGCTATGCTATATACATACCATAAGTATCATTGTAGAGTCTTGCTTACAGCTTTCATTGCACAGCCAACATAAAAGTAATGCTACAGAGGCAACAGCTTCAGCGAGTGAAGATATCTTCATTATGTGATCATCAGGCATGAGATGCGGATGTTGTAGAGTTGAATGTATCCATAGAAACAGTGTTGGGCAAGCTACTTGGGAATGTTAATGCTAAGCTACTAGTTACTCTACATTAACTGAAGCTTCACTACACAGAAGCTACCCCCCAGTGAAATGTAGCAAGCTAAGCTACAGCAAAATGGCAAAAGCAGTTTACTACATCTAAACTACTTTGAATTTTTTTACATTTTACTCTGTGTATATAAATATACACACAACACCACACACACACACACACACACACACACAAACTCCCCTACTTACTGCCACATCATTGCAGCAAACTTTATTTCCTCATGCAACAAACTGAGAAAAACTATTGTTGCTTGGATAAAGTTACTGTAAAATTACTACATTATTATTGTTTGAAACAAGTTTCTGACACTACATATCAAAGTTTCTTCCTCACTAGAGGAAGAGGTGTCCAGGCTGGAGCTGGACCCTGATCCTTCTCACAATTACAATAAGTATCACAATAAAATGTAAACTCAATAACGTGTGTCTTCATTCCCCTGCAGCAAAGTTGCAGACATCAGCCCAAGGAAAAAGAAGTACTTCTGCCGGCTACACATACAGGTCTGTGTGTGGCGGGGGCATCACTTACTGATCCTTAGTAGTTGTATTTCAGACTTGAGCTTCAGAAATGCTTGGGAAAATGTAGCGTGTGTGGACGCTACCACGCTACTCTGTCAATAAAAGAGCTTCGCTACTGAAAAGCTACCACCAAGCTACTGAGAAATGTAGTTAAACTAGTAACGATGCTACTTGTCGTGACACTACTGCCCAACACTGCATAGCAACAAGCATCACTGGGTATAGTAGACGGCTTATGACCCATTTATTGTATACTAATAAATATCTGAGCGGTTGAAAGTAATAGTTGTGTAGGCTGGAGAGAAGTAAAAGGTGTTGTCTTTGCATGCCTGCACCAGAGTAGCGATTTAAAGATGTTAAAAACATACTACTAGCGCAAAATAGTGAAAGAGTAGTGTAAGTAGAGAAGTTAGATTTCCTGAGGAGTACCTGTGGTCTTTAGGGGTGAACTTAAGCAGTTCTCCCAGCTGAAGGGGGTATTTACAGATCTTCTGGACGGGTGTGAGCAAGAAACCGGCAATGGAAATGTCGATCATCTGCTGGAGCAGCCGGCAGGCCTCAAAGAAATGCTTATATTTGCCCAACTTCATGAGGCGCTGCAACTCAGCACAAGCTGCTGGATGAGTGTTGCAGTAGTCCGAGTAGATAGAGAAGCCGTCTCCCTTGGGAAAAAAAGAAAAATAAAACTATTATTTAGAGCTACTGAATCAGGTAAATACACGCTGTGATTTAGGAAGGTTTTGTGTGGCCACTACCTGCAGGAGAAAACAAGAGCCTATTTCACTGAGATGCGGTTGGTCTTTGTTGTACTTCTTCTCCAGGTCTCTGAGAAACTGCCTCTGAAACCTGTAGATGTCCTCTATGTTGCTGAAGATGGTCTTCAATTGCAGCTCAGTAAACATGTCCGGGTGTTTATGGCACTGACGGATGTAACCCTGAAAGTTACACAAAACAAGTATGCTGACAACAATGACAGAAGGTATGA